AGATATAAAAAGCGATCTTTATATAAATATTTTCTTCAAATGATGATTTAGAGAGTAAGTTTTAGAAAGATTTTTTTTAATGCTCCATGTGAGGGGTCCATTTTTTTTTTACTTACTTTGGGCCACAAAAATCTGATGACCGGCCCCGCATCCTCCAACTGCCTTAGTCAAGAGACTGCAGTTGGTGTGCAACACGAAGTCACCAACACACTTGATGAATAGTTGATATGATGCTAACAACCTCGCTAGAGATTAAGTATGCAGCCGGTAGTTGGTTCCGGAATGGAGGTTGATTGGTATAGAGGCATGTTCCCACTGCAACCTATGTAGATTCTAAAAATATCACCAACACAACTGATGATAGTAGTATAGGAGTACATTTGCACTGTGCGAGCATTCTAGTGCGCGGTTTGGCACGCATGTTAACATTTGCAACATATTTCTTTTCAAGCAGAACGTGCCCAAGTATTTAACATACTTGTGCACAATGTCTTTCTCTTCACGGAAATATACATTATTTTCTTTCAAAAACCCTGAGAATATTTTTCATGAAAATGTGATGCTAACCCTAAGCCAGTAAGGCGTTTCCTTGCTCCACCACCACACACAAAAGCACATGAATCATAGTCGGTTTCTACCCCTTGATGAGTGGAGTGGTGCCACACAAACCTGGGTGTCCACACCTCAACAGCACACACATTACCTACCAGTCGGGACACAATGCAAGTGCGCATGCTTCTGCTGTGTGTGAAATTAAGAGAGCTACCTACCGAATAGGACCAATAAGTGTCGTCTCAGCCTGTGATGAGAGGTTAACAACCTCGGCCTCATGTGCCAAGCTGCTATCATGGGTTCTCTTGGTCTTGGTCACCTCAAGCTAGTAGTGTCAGCTTATATATGCAAGGCTGGACCGTGCGCTTGGTCGGTTGGTATAAAATGTCATCGATTAATACTGGTGTAAGTACAATCAAGAGGCTTCAGCTGGTGCATTGACCTCCTCGGCATGTGAACACTGAACACTGGAGTCACTAAAATTGTTTTCCTTGAGAGAAAACACGATAATAATGCACATTATTATAGTGGTGCGAAAGCAAATTCGATGATCACTATACATGGGAAAATAATATAAATGGTGGTGGAAATTATTGGAAACTGCAATGAAATTTGGAGGGCATTGAGTTGTACTAGGTATGGTGGTACTTACATGTCATTTTTCTAATGTTCGGTTTATTATATCAACAAGCCAATGTGCAGTCGATGTTACGCTTTTGTATGACAGAAAAATATACTCCCTCCATCCTAAAAAAAATGTCATTATGGGATGCATGTTTGACTAGGTTTATAAAAATTATTAGCAACATGCGTATTTCTAAATATGTTTATTATAAAAATATATTCCACAAATCATCTAATGATCATGCATCGTAAATATTAATATTTTCTTATGTATGTGTAGTCAAAGTTAAAAATATTTGACTTGTCAAAGTGAGCATGACACTCTTTGTGGGACGGAGGGAGTAATTATCTTGAGGGAACAAATTGATATCTACAATACCAGTACATCAACCCATGCAGGAGCACATGATATTTAAGTTTAAGACCTATGAGTGTTACAAATTCATGGATACACTTAGGGCCCATAGCTAACCAAAATTTCATATATTTTCTCTCTCTAATTTGTCCATATTCTAACACAGCATCCATATTGATGCTTTTCTTATCTGGTTATAATAAACTTTTGTTAATAATTATTCTCTGTATATTTTCCTATCACTATTCATACTTTAACCCTTTGCATGGCGTCTCTACTTGTGTTTAAACTATGTTTAGTTGAAATCGCTTCCTACATATACTTGGTGTGAATGGTGACACACATTATACATGTATATCTTGAGTTGCTTTTTCAATAACAATGCCACGAGTGGATAGTTTAGAAGCAAACATAGAAGTACTTGGGTTATATTTCTTTTATGATGACATATACAGGTAACTTAGATAGAAATTAAATGTATACGGTTATTTCAAATTATGGTGGAGTGATTGTTTTAGATACAAATTTGGGGATTTAGATATATTATTTTTTCATAAGGATATAGATGGGTTTACTTTAGGTTACTTTCAATGATTACATTTGATCATTTTTCATAATGGTATATGTGACTATGTGAGTATTTTAAATGACAAGTAGGGGGTTACTTTAAATTATTTTTTATAATGGAAGATGTGCGTAATTTACATATAGATTTAGGGTCACTTTAGAGTATTTTTATAATAGCATAGGTGGGCATTTCTTTTTAGAAAGTAGAATAGATCTAGTGGTTGCTATTGCCTATATATAGCGATTAGAGTGTGCCAAACCGATGTCCCTATGTTTCCCACCTCTATGAGAATTTCTATGATTTATCTTTGTTTTTACCAGGTCTTGTGAGATTGACATCCAATCTATTATTTTAGTATTTGGTCAACAAAATGAGCCTTCACATTAATTCTCAAGACATATAAGTTAACACAATAATCAAAGAAAATAAAATCAACGTACCCCTTTGCACGTTTGATAAATCATCCACCACTGCCACTACTAAAAAATATCCTTAATATATTCCTCTATCACCAACACACGCCATTATTTAAAAAATAGAATCTCTAAGTTGCTAAGTGATTGAATCTTCACATTTCAAAGAAAAAAATTTAATCTTAGAGTTGGAAGAAGAGGAGATTCAAATTTAATTTGCACCTCAAAGTATCTCTTGATGTCAGTTTTAATAATAGAAAAATAAAGATAGTTTAGTATGAAAGTTTTAAAATGAGCATATAAAAGCTTTAGAATATAAGACCCAATAACTTAAACTGCGCAACTAAGGCAAATCTATAGAGCTAATGGTAAAACATTGACATAATGGTAAAACATTGACATCGGTTAACGAAAAAGAATGTCGATGGTGTCATTAATATGCAAGCGTGATGTATAAGTGAATTGTACAAGATGACAGGAGCTATCTTACTAAGCCTAGGCTCATATATACCTCAAGATCATGCAACTAATTGATCAATAAAGGAAAATACCGTGTAGATTGCTTATGGTGGAACAACTATTTTGGGTGACAACAAATGGTAATGAAACCATTCACTTTAGAGTGAAAACGGGTGGAACTGTGTCAGCTAAGCTGCATAAAACTAGAATATATTATACTAACCTGCCGTGCAATTCTGCTGATCACCTTGCTAGTTAATAAAGTCTTATTTGAATGGTACATGCTCAGTTATGGAATTATAGGACTCTAGATTGCTATCGTTCTTTCTTTCTTTGAGTTCGTTTCTCCGTCCTGAATTACAGGCTCCAACGGTTCCTGAGATTTCAATAGTTCTGAATTTGATATTTGTGATAAAAAAAAACGTAGCTTCGACCGTCTTCCGTCCGTCATAAACTATGATGCTTCGTCAACGTCAAGAGGAGCCCCTACAAAATCTGTGATAAAATAGACCTAGAACTCGTACTTTGTGAATCATGCCAACGGCAGGCCCTGTTCACACTTGATGCCGCAAAGCTTCATCGTTAGGAGAGTGTTAGTACCAATTAATTAATTAATTAATTAATTAATTAAAACCGCCCACCGGAAAAGAAAGAAATCAATAATGATACGCGCGCACGTAGCCTTCGCGGCGGCTTCTCGGGCCCTCCCGCCACGCGCTGACGAGGTAATCCGTCCAACGCAAGGCGATGACACCCGCGGCCGTCCGTTGCAGTCCATTTCAACAGGAGATGCAAGCGGGATTGTCTGCAGATATATAAATAAATTTATTTTTTACGAATTATATTAGATACAATCTGTAAAATTGAATCTATTTATAGGTTCTGTGTTTGTTTCCCGCAAAACTTTAGTCCCTGTCACATTACATGTTTGGACACATGCATAGATTATTAAATATAGGCCCTGTCAATCTCGAAACCGGCTGAAAAACGGTTCCGGCTGAATGAGAGAAAAAATCGTTCCTAAGATGGAAAAAAAAAAGCGAACAAGCCATTTTTAAGACAAGCGAACGGAGCCATAGATTAATTATGAAACTAAATGTACAGATGGAGACTAATTTGCGAGATGAATTTTTTAAACCTAATTATTCCATGATTTGATAATGTGGTGGTACAGTAAGCACATGCTAATGATGGATTAATTAGGCTTAATAAATTCGTCTCGCGGATTACCGATGACTTTTATAATTTGTTTTATTATTACTATCCGAACACTCAATGTGACACCCCCGTGACATCCGATATGACACCTCTAAACTTTAATCCCTGAATTCAAACACTTTGCATCTATGCAGGCCTATCCATGCTCAAATGGAGTGGAAGTTTATTATTTTTAGGCTTACAAACACGAAGGCATGCACTTTATCTTTCTAAACAGGCTTGCACACACACACTCTATCTCTATAAACATATTCCAAAGACTTAAATTAGTCGATCTTGAAACGAAATCATCATAGATAGACTATCAACAGATACGTCTCCTACCATTGAAAAATAGCGTTGTTAAATATTGAGATAAATTCAAACACCTGTTATATATACAACGAGGACTTAATTAACCCAGATAAATAGATTTCACCGCAACAAAACTCAATCGGTTCGCTGGCCATTAATCATTCGGAAATGCTACAGTGCGAGCGATCCGACCGTTCAGACGCCGCGCTTCTTGGGCCTGGGCACTACCAACCCAATAGTCCTATTTCCCATTTACCTTCATTGTTTTACCGTTTCTCAAAATAAAAAAAAGACAGCGACATTCCCAGCTAGCACGGTCGTCACGGCGTTCCCTACCACTCGCCCGCCGCTCACCTTCTCCAGCGCCGACCACCTCCGCTTCCTTCGCCCCGGGGACCTCGCTCGCCTCCGCGACGCCAGGCTGCGCCGCTGGACTCACGTTTGCTGCCCGCCCCTGCCCTCATTGCCAGAGCCGGCGCCAGTGTCCTCCTCGTCACCTCCTCGTGGGCATCGGGTCATGCCGTACTTCGCGCTCACATCGAAGCTCCACGCGCCCCGGTGCCCCCAGCGGAAGAAGCTCGCGGCAGGCAAGCTCGTGGTGCTCTTCGCTCTACCACCTCCCAACCCCAACCTGCTCATCGAGGTGGTTATCGAGTTTCTCAATGCGCCTGACATGGTGGCCGTCTCCCACTAGAGTGCCGCGCCTGACATATTGCAAGCGTATGTTTTAAGTGTTTCAAATGTTCCATAGGTATATTGCAAGTGTTTCATATGGATGTTACAAAAATAGATCGGGATGTTGCATATGTTGCAAAGTGTTCCAGATGCATGTTGCAAGTTTTTCAGAGGCGTGTCGTTGCAAATGTTTGTTCAAAATGTTTTATCTATTTCAGACGTATGTTGCAAGCGTTTTTATCTGGATGTTGCATATGTTTCAAACATAGCTGTAAGAGTATGTTTGAAATATTTTAGTTGTTTCAGTCTTATTTTGCAATAAGTGTTTTCATGTTGCAAGTCTCGAGTGTTTTTTCTGGATATTGCATATGTTTCACACACATGTTGCAAGTGTATGTTTCAAATATTTTATCTGCTTCAGACGTATGTTGCATTCAAGTGTTTCATATTGCAAGTGTTTCGTGTTTCAAAGGTATATTTAGAAAGTCATTGGGGCACGCCCGGGCACCGTGGGAAGGGGCATGGCGAGCCGGGGGCCGGCGGATGGGGCACGCGGCGCGCCTAGGGTCCTGCGGATGAGATGTGCTCGTCCTCATCCCGGCTCCCGGATCCCACCCGCGCGGAGAGAGAGAGAGCGCGCGCGCAAGGGGTCAGGGGCAGGATCAGGTAGACAGGGAAGGGCCGTTCGGTACCGACGGAATCCCATCCCATCTGTCCATTCCAAATTGCAGATAGGTTGGATATGTTCAAGGTTTCACTTTCTCTATCTTTGATCACGAAAAGACGTTCGTTTAGACATGTGAGCCAAGCAGTTGCAAGGACGGTCTAACGATTCAGCGTCTCGTTGGAGGTGGGTCTTTGCAAACAATATGTATCTCTCTATCTGTACGATCGATCTTCTCGTCCAAGTTAATTAACATTCGGTCACCATCGTCAGATCCAGCGCTCAACTAATAACCACACAGCCGCGTCCTTGACGAGAGAGAGAGAGAGAGAGAGAGAGAGGGGTCAGTCAGTCAAGCTCCATTTGCTTGCTTAATTGTGATTCTTTTTGCCATTTTATTATTGGAGCAAGTACGTACGTACGTAGGATCGATCGCAACGGAGCTTTAATTTGAGGACACGGCGTTACGCGTCGTCGTCGTCCCCGCGTGTCACAGTCGTCTCAGATCAGATGCAGGACGATTTGTTTAGTCAGGTATCTAACGACGAGTGTATAATTATATATTTGGCCGCGTGTCGGGTCTGATGTGTTCACGCCTTTGTTGTTTCCTTCCTTAGGAAAAAATAGTGCTGCACTACTGCATTTGGAAGATTGGAAGAAATAGCTGACGCATTCGCGTCTACAAGAAAGAGGTTAGTTAGGTTAACCCAACTGCCAATGCGCACCTATTAAGAGGCAACCGTACGTACCCATTGATATTGATTTGTAAGCGCCGAGCCATGCATGCCAAACAAACAAAACTTCACGCCATAGTCAAGCTGAAGCAATGAACCGGTTACCGAATTCTAGTGAAGGATCACCATTCGCCATTCGACTATCCCAGGCGATAAATCAGAAGCAGTACGCAAGGTGAACAAGCATGTCGTCCCCTGCCCATTTTCCTTGTTTGTGGAGTGTCAGCAGGCAAGACGAAACTAGCCACATAATACTTACACAGGCAACTTGAACGTGTATTGCTAATATATATATACAAGTTGCATCCGTCTGCATGGGTCAGAACTCGGAAGGCATCATATCACCCGGCATGGCAATTGCAGCACGTTTGAAACAACAGCATCCATAGTATATACAGTATTTGTTTAACCCGCTGCACGAATCTTTTGGCAACACCTTATTGGAGCTCTCAACTACTTTAGCAGTGTTTTTCAGCAAACGAACAGTGTTTTTCTCTCACAACAAATCAACATAAGCATCGACATAAGCCAAATTTCAGCGAAGCCCGGACAGGGCTAACCGCATAAGCCAAATTACTACCGCAGCGCATTTCACACTAGCAATCATTAGAGGACTAACCGCTCTGAAATAAACAAACCCGCCTCCCTTCCGCAATGTCTGTAAGTCTGTACAGAGCACAGAACCACTTCATCGTCATTGGAATCATCATCATCATCATCACCGGAGATAGAGTAAATCTCAGTTCGTTGTTTCGGTTTCAGTAGTGCTATATATTGTTCAGATTCAGAAACGGGCAGTTTCAGTCTACCACGAGATTAATAGTCCCTGGATTTCAGCTGAACTCACAAAGACTGTGAACTCTGATACTCGCTGGAATCATCATCATCATTGGATGGAATCAGCAGCCAGACGGAGACGGCCAGACGGGGTGGGAGTCGCTCTAGCATTTGAGCACCTGAGCCGCAGCAACCTCCTCCTGCTGTCGTTTCACAAATCAGAACCCACATACAAATATCCTCCTCATCAGCTGTCATCGTCGTCTTATTATCAACTTTACTTACTACTAGTACAGTATCATCTTATCCTGATCACTAGTAGGTTGCATGGGTGCCGCTCACTGCCTCTGGTGACGTTGATCGCCTTATACGTCAGTCAAAAGATCCCGAAGCTGAGTCCGTCTCTGAAACTATAGTTAGCAGTAACCCGGAGGCCCTGTTCGCTTGTCTTATAATCCGTATTTTTTAGCTTGTTTTTTCAACCAAAACAGTATTTTTATCTCACAACAAATCAGCTGGAATAATGTTTCAGTTTAGTTTTTTTAGCAAAGCGAACGGGGCCATGCAGAGAGTCAGGCTGCCACGTTTCTACTGAGAAACAAACACTGCCATATTGTTCATGGGGGAGGCGAATATTGCTCTGCTCCACGGCCCACGGCGAACAACTGGGTTGACGGGCACGCAGGATCTTTTGTTCGCCCTCATCAGGCAGCAGATTCATGTTCTGAGTGGCAGTCACGTCATGTCGTTTTGTTGTCACTGCCTCATCCTGATGAGTCCTGCCTTGAGAGTTCTCAGTCCAAGGTCCAAGCAGGCATTGCACCTTGCGTACATGTCGTTTTCTTCTGTTCTGTCTCTATCCATGGGCATTCAGTATTTACCTCATGATAGATAGATAGATATGTAAAAAGAACTCTAGAATAAAGAGATCATGTTTATCTCGTCAGATTTCAGTGGCTTGTGCAAGAAAACAGCATGTGCCTGACAATATACTCTAGTACTAATTCGATTTGTCTCCAAATGGACAGAGAACTCCCCCGAGCAAACATGCAAGTTCCATTTGATCTAGCACCACGCGGTTCTCACAGGATTATTTGATGTTCACTTGTCCAGGGAGGCAGGGAACTTATGGTTGGCACTGGCAGGAACGTTGCCAATGATCTTCACGTGCCATTGTAGCTACCCTGCAGTCCACAACTACCTTTTTTTGAACCATACAATACGGTCACCATCGTCTCTATATCAACTTGAAGGAGCTACTAAGCTAACCAAGTTCATGATAGATAGCTCCCCGGCCAAACATTCATCAGAAATACTCTAGTAGCTCGCATGAATCATTCAAAGGTCATTTTCTTTTCTTCCTTTTGGTCCAATGGCTAAGCGGTTGTTCAGGGAGGCAGGGTTCAGGTGTTCCATTCCAGTGGCCATTATCAGAAGGAGGCAAAAGCTTTCAAAGCCGAATCCATCCATCTCTGAGGTCTGTCTGAGCTCGAGAGTCGCTCCGGAGTCCTGGATGTCCATGATGGCTTGGCTGCCGTATTCCCTGCAGAGCCATATATACTGACTGACACAGTGTCGAGAGCGCATATTCCCCCACGGGCAACCACTGAAGCACTGCAGATATATAGATCCTCTTGTCGCGGGGGACAAGCAAAGTTGCCACAGTTGGCACTAGTAGACTGGACACCACGGCGCGCCGGATTCGTCACAATTCGCGTGGGACAAGCAGCAGTCATATCATGTTGCCACTGGGCCCTCATCAGAGACTGCATCGAACTGGCTGGGGGTTATTCCATTGGGCCTCTCTCTATTCTGTCTCTATCTGTCGGAAGCCACATTGCGTGGTAAGTGCACAACATGTTGCGTTACCAAAAGTAACGAAACAAATTTCTCCCGCAAATTTGAAATTTGCACGTCGCAGCTGATCAATTAGTCATCAGACCTCCCCCATGCCTCTGACTTGTTGGCAAAGTATCTTCTGGAGTCCACGAAGTCTCATGGACAATCTGCAGTTGGCATCGACTTGATCCCCACAAATTGTTTGGGGGTGGGTCCGTGGGTATTGGGAACAAGAGCAGCAAATGCAAGTCATATCTCCATTGTCGAAGGCATCTGGAACTGGAAGGGGGAAAAACAAAAACATCTTTCTTTTATTAGCAATAGCCAGTGTTGAACTGTTGATGTACAACTACATTAATGGGTACATAAGACGGCCAATTGCTGATTTTTTTTTTTTTGTTGAGAAATCGTATCTATAAGTTCTGAAAAAACGTTGAAACATTCGTTGTCCATAGGTTAGGTTGTTTTATGACCCCATCCAAAATTTCATGTCCAAAAGAGGTTCCATTTGGTATGGGAGAGAACAAAAAAAGGAACATATGCACAAAAGGATAGAATACACATGGGGACACATTTCCAGCATGTGCATCCAGAAATTGTCATTTTTATCTCCCAAATGAGATACTCCTAGTGCGGACTTGAGACTGTGGGTGGAATCATAATACAAGCTCATCTATTTATGCTGAATGTTTCAGATTATTTTTCAAAACTTCTATATATGAGTTCTAAGAAAGTTTTAATGTTATGGTGAGTTGATTTCTAACAGCGGAAACGCAGATTGCTTCGTTCCGCCAAGTACTCCAAAACTGCAGTGGATTCTAGACAGTTGCTGACTGAATCAAAAAGTGAAAAAAGGATATAGCATTTGCTACCACCAGACCTGCATGCAAGTCAAGAAAAATTATAACACATTCTGCTCAGAGTTTACATTATCAGTAAATAAAATCTTTCGGAGGTCAGGATAAACGAGGTATATCGGAAATATCAGACCAAATGTAAACAAATTGTATATGTTTCGGAGGTCAGGATAAATGAGGTCTGATATTTCTGCTCAGAGTTTACCTTATCACTATATAAAAATCTTTCGGAAGTCAGGATAAACGAGGCATATCAGAAATATCATACCACATTCAAACAAATTGTATATAAATCTCAAATAAGTCCAAACAAAATTTAAATACGGAATATCATAAATATCAGTGGATTTTGTTTGATAAAACGGAACATCAGAAATATCGGCAGGTTTGGGCCGGAAAAAAAAACTGATTCTACTTAATGAAAACAAGGAGAGTATGCAGCTAAAGGTCAAGATGTCAAAGCAACATAAACCGATTTCCCCGTACGAAAAGGCAGTGTAGCAACACTTCAATTTCCAACTTTCCAACATTCACAGTCTTGTATGCTTACGAAAAATGCTTGTAAGGCAGAGCACTGATAAGCCATTTCTGTTTAATATACATCTGCGAAGACTGATGGGAGTCAAGAACCATTTATTTTCTGAAACCCTGAACTATGTTCATCTGTCTTCTAATCCAGTACAATGTATCCCAAAGAAGGGCATTGATTTGTTACGCCAAAAGGACTGAATCTGACAGCCCACCACCAACATGAAGAGAACAAATAGACAAACAAAAGAATAGAGGAAAAGAAAAAAAAAATTGCCCCCATTCTCATCAAGAATTGCAACCAACTAGCTGCCCGAGAGAACCTCCTGCTATGAAAGGCAATTAAGCAGCCCCTCTCGAACCTTTGCCTTACTTCCATTCTACTTGCTAAGCCCAGATGGCCAAAGACGACATAGCCATGGCACCAAGGAACAAGGCAATGTATGAGCCGACTTGAAGCCTCAGGTTACAGCTCATCCTCTTACTGAGGAAATCAGCCGCAATGAGGTCCACCAAGGCCATGTAGATCAGAATACCAGCCGATATGGAATCCAGAATGCCCTCTACCACAAGTGCCCTCGGGCTGTTGGGGTTGTAGAACGACGCGATACCTGCCCCCACGGTGATCCCAGTAGGCGTTGTGATAGCAAAGAAGAAGGCCATAAGGAGTGCAGAAAAACTCTTGAACTGAGCCTGCATTTTGTTGGGCAATGAACAGAACACCACAAACACAACCACATCTGCTTCAAATGTTGTGTTCAAATGATAAATTGTTGATCCAAATCACAAAAGGAAGTACTAGATATTAACCTCAGAAATGCAGCCGCCCAATGCAAAGCCCTCAAAAAACTGGTGGAAGGAGAGGGCAGCAACTAGAGGCTTGATGGTGCAGGGATTCTGTGAGACGCCCAAAGATAGCCCGATGATCACGGAGTGCGATACAATCCCAAGCTCAAGAATCTAGTAGAGAAAATAGCGTAGGGTTATTCACCATTTTGCGGATATTATTAGAATATGAATAGGCTTAGAATGTGAATGGTCTTAGCATATGAAGAGTCATGTAACTTGTATTATAAACACTTGTTCAATGAATGGAAACTCAAGCCAGTTACTCTAACAAATATGAAGCAAGTTACCACATATCATATCTCCGGTTGTCGTACAAGTTACAAGAAACCTATAGAAATCGGCTCAGAAGGAATTAGCATGAGAATGAGTTCATAGTATTTACTGATACATTATCACTACTTGGGGGCAAGAAGCTAGAACACCTTAAGAGCATGAATGAATGCAGTTTCATATTTTCATAATACTATTGGCAATTAGGTGAGCAATAGGCTAGACCACGTAATTGAACATTGCTTGGTGTTATAAATCCTGTTTGTGTCTTTTGGGTCGTCCATGGTCGTTGTAACTTGTAAATTGCGGTGTTCCCTTCAATGCTCATGCTACAGATTCCTTTTAAAAAAAAAATAGCGCCTGCTGATCATATAGTAGGACTGATAACGCTGTTTACCATGCAATTTTACCCAAATGCATTCCAAAGAAATTTAAATTTCAGTGAAACTTGACCAATTTTTGTGAAAACTCAAAGATATCACATAACTTGTCCACGTTTGACTAAACGAACAGGGCCAATTGTTGATAGGGTTTCACTATTAGAAGTGTCCTGGGTAATCACAGGCCAAAATTTTAGAGAGTCCACAACTCCACACGCATGCCATATCGTCACTCTCTAGTAACAAATGTAACATGCCTTTTGAAGTCAGGCATTGAGCAAGTATCATCACTTCATCGTGCAATTGGAATATGCATTTTTTTTTTGTTCTGTGTTTCGAGAAGAGAGTTAGAAACGTACCTGTGAGACAACCACATGACGAGCTTGGGACGGCTCCTCATCGTGCCCATTGTGACCGTCATCACATGGGCCGATCCCGTGGGCGTAGCTATGCCTGTGTGCCGCGGCGTGCGCGCGCATCCCCACGATGTGCATGGGGTCCTTGTGGCCTCCCCCTATGCCGCTGCCAACGCTCCCCATGAGCGCGCTGTACCCTATGCCGCTGCCAACGCTCCCCATGAGCGCGCCGTCTCTCCCTATGCCGCTGGCAACGCTCCCCACGAGCGCGCCGTGCTCTAGCAGCGCCACGGTCACGTCGTGGCCGCTCGCATTGGCGCTGGCATTGCCTTCCGCCGCGTCGGCGCGGTGCTGCTTGCTTTCGTACATGTGCGTGCCGACGAAGTCGAAGACGAGCGTCCCGAGCGCGGCGAGCATGGCGACGAAGCCCGGGAACGGGAAGCGGCGCCACGGCGCGGCGGGGAGGCAGGGGTCGGTGAGCGCCTCGTCCGCGTCGTGCAGCATGTGGACGAAGCCCGTGGCCAGGATCACCCCGGCCGCGAACGCCTTGACGAGCACGAACGCCCCGCCGCCGGTGGAGGAGGAGGAGAAGGAGGCGGAGGAGGAGGAGGCTCCTTCCCGCCCGCGGCAGCGGCGGCCGACGAGCGGGATCGCGACGCCGGTCGCGCCGGCGACGAGTATGGCCGCGACGGCCACCATCTTGAGCCCCAGCGCCGCCGCCTCGTCGCGGCACTCCGCGTCATCGGCGCCGCTATTAGACGCGCCGCAGCTCGCCGTGGAGACCGACGCTGCCACCATCACCAAGATAGAGAGATACATGCACGCAACAGCATGCCGCGTCAAAATCACAGAACGGACCACGGGAGAGAGAGTGAGGAATCAGAATCAATTTGGTGCTCTTGCTTACCTGCGGCTATCTGCTGCAGGTGTGTGCGGATGTACGACGATCCCTCCATCATTTCCTACGATTCATAGCAACGCAACAACCGAATTATCAACAAAATCTGCGATTCCGCCTCGCAATTCAGCGGGGTAAATGAAGGGGGAAACTAACGAACGAACACGGAAGAACACCGCCCAAATTTCGAGGGGAAAAGAATAGCAGCGAGAAGATAAAAGCAACGTGGCCCAGGAACACGCGGCGAACTAAGGGCCGCGCCACGAGGTTCGTAGAGGATGAGACGGGAGGGAGCAGGTGGCGCGCACCTCGAAGAACGGCATCGCCGCTGAAGAGAACGCTGCTGATGCAGAAACAGATAATCCCTCTCCCGAACAATCGATGGATTCTTCCGATCCGCGTGGTAGCCAGCGGCCTCCATCGATCGTTTTATACGCGCCAGCAGCGGCAGAGGTGTGGGCGTGATGGTGGGAGCCCACGGACCACGGGCACGCGCCTCACTTCTCTACGTCGGCGCACGGCGGGGCGGCTAGCGGGACCTGCCACACGACGAGGATGTCGTCATCCCCTCGCGGCCCGCCGTCCGATCGGATCATACGGCGGGGCAGTGGTCAGCACGCGGAGTGGGCACGGGGCGCGGGCATGCTGCGTCACAGGAGTCAGTGGCTGGCGGGGAAGGTCCGGACAACGAACGAACGGTCTCTGCAGACCGGGCGCAGCGCCGTGGGTGCGGAGGCGTGCGGCTCCGGGCATGGAGCAACGATGTCGACACCATGGCGAGGGCTGTGCGTGGCGTCGGACCGCCGCCGGAAGAACGAGCGAAAATGCAGTAGACTGGTTGCGTTTGGACTTTGCAACGCCGACTGTCTGAGTGTCTTAGAAACGATCTCCTGTATAGTCGTAGACAGCGGCGGTCCATGAAAAAATTCAGGTAGAATAAAAGTGCGAGAGCGATGTACCTCCTGCTACTACTTGATCTTAAATTTCAGCTCCACCTCCACAATAAAATAACATACCTCCCACTGCTACTCGATCTTAAGTTTCAACCCCACCTCCGCGATAAAACCAACCCCGAACCGATTAAACTCGAATCTCATATACTAGTACATTCGAAACCACACACCGTTGAATCCGCCGCTGGTAGTAGACCAGTGTACTGGGCATTCCGTAGCCTTTCACCTAATATAAAACTCGAACTCCGAGAACCGATCAAACTCGAATCTCATATACTAGTACATTCGAAAGTCAAAACATCGTCGGGGGTGTACCAGCTCTTAAAATTGGCAAGCAAGCGAGCGCATGACAGTGGCCCTTGCCAATCCTTTTATTGAACCGTGATAGATTAACCAGCGACAACCAGTTCATCAATAGAAATTAAATCTTCTATTTTCCTCTATTTTAACAAAGGTCCACTTGGGACCAGTAAGGAGACAACCACACATAGCTCCAGCTATCCAAAAATGGATAGCAACCCACACAATATAGAAACGAGATAACATGCATTCAGATCAGAATCGCGATAAAGATAGCAACCCACACAATTCAATAGTATCAGTCCAATCCTTTGCAAAGCTTCTCTCCATACATAAGCAGAGATAGCAAGTTACTGATCAGTGAGCGAATGTTACATCCAAATACATCTGTTCCATGACACCATATTGTTACTACCACAAAGTTTAAAGTTTCAAGGGCCTTCTAAGGCTCATGCCAGACTACGATAATTTTAGCTGCAGCTTCTACAGAAAGCTCAGGGGGGGTGGGGGTGGGGCAGTTCAGGGTTCAGCGACTAGAGACTAAAATCTTTGTTGTGCAATGAAAAGCTCCAGGGAAAAAATGTTCAGATGCCGCTGATTCGACAAGGTGAATGGAATGTCCCATTTTCTCAGTAGCAGAAACGAGGGAAGGTATAGCTTTATTATCAGATCCTAGAGAAACTGGATGATCATTTTCCATAAGGGTGGTATCTGCTGGAGCCCCGACCACCAGCGCTGCCACCACCACCCATGCCTCCAGCCCCACCATAGCTGCCATATCCTCCTGCACCATAACCTCCTGGAGCACCATATGCACTACCTCCATAGGCACCACCATATGCCCCGTAGGCACCATATGGACTTCCATACATGGAACCACCATATGCAGAGCCATAACCTGAGCCATAGCCAGCAGGAGTACCACCATATCCATACCCTCTGCCGTATGCACCATATGCTGTGCTGCCATAATATGCTGCAGCAGTTGATCGGTAGCCACCACCGTATCCATAGCCACCACCACTGCTGTTCCCAGAAACACCACTGCCACCACCACTACCACGGTATGAATCACGGTGACCACCACCACGACTGTGTCTTCCGTTTGAGCTTGAATCACCCCCGCCTGGTTTCTTTGGTTCAGCTTTCTTAATTTCAACCTGCAAAATTATAGAACAATTGGAGAATTTAGTCAAACATTTTTCAAATTGACTCCTGTTGCAATGATACATCAAATATAACAGCAGAAATTATAAGACATAGGTGACTTCTAACAAAGACAAATGATGCACCTCTACTATAAGTCTATAAGAATTGTTGGAGCAGATAAACAGCATAAAACCCCAACCAGAGGTCACTAGGCAAAAATTTTATCAATGAACAATGTTAAGTGATATCAAGTCCCAGCACAGGATGCAGATTGCTAAGTCATCGAACGAAATGCTATATCTTCTAATTTGTCGGCATTGTTCTGTATTCTTATTACCGTCATCATTTGTGTTCCGGTTCATTTATCTTTATCAATCACAAAAACTCACCCACTATTTAAAGGATGTTGGCATACAAGAAATTTACAACAATATACCATAACTTGCCGTACATGTTTCCTACAAACACGAAAACTTTATGTAACCCTAATTAATCCTAAAGGCATAAACCCTAAACTGCTAAACAACAAGAAGAGGACCTAAGAGATATACAAGTGTACTATCGCTGAAAATTCTCCACAAAGACCATGCAAGGAGAACAGAAGCAGTGCTCTAAAAGATGTGGACCGAAATCATGTGCTTGAGATATAACTCGGATATTGAGGGAAAAACCTGTCACAACCCAAATTGAATTCACTCACAAATCAAATCACAGCAACAATCAAACTAGTTTGTTGTAGTTTTTAGAAGGTGCTGGATACAACAACTATGAAGTGATCAGGAGGAGGAAGGAAAGGTAAATCGAGTCCAGAGACTCGCCTCGAGCAGAGCTCGCCGCCGGTTCTGTGGTCTGTTCTTCGACGAGTCCGCCATAGCTACTGCTGCTGCCCTTGTACTCTGCATCTGATGCCTCCTGCAGGCCAATGCAAACCCAGTCCAACTCTTCTGTACATTGCCCAGCATAAGCCCAGTCTAATTCTTCTCCTGTCCACTGCCCTGCCCAATTGAAAGCTATATTGAGAGTTCCTGACATTCCTCCCCCCATGAAACACGGCTTGTCCCTAAGCCGTTGCTGCAGTGAACCACCGGGATCCCATGGAACATGCTTCTCACTGATGTCAAATGATATCTGGAAGGCACCAGCTTTGGTCAGTGGTAATCCATGCCAGTACTTGGTATTGCTCAGAAAGGTTGCTACTTGCACATGTATCTGGAACACCAACTCAGCACAGGTGGAGATGTTGCACCAATTAATGTGCATTGCCACTTGACCACAACAATCCACCAAAACTAGGACCATGGCTTGTAAGTTGGGAAGAAATCCACCGGGCAATGTTCAAAAAGGCGCTTGGCAATTTCTAGGCGATGACCCATAGCCTAGAGCCTCGGCGAGCCTAAGCGAGCCTAGGCGTTTCAATGCGTTTTTCTAGGCGTTTCCTTATCCATGCAAATTTACATCAAAGTCTAAAAGAAAAGGAGAAACAGGAGAACAGTGGGCAAAGAGTTATACAAGAAGGCCCATAAAAACAGCCCAAGCCCAAGTCTGAACAGCAAACCTTATCCCTAACCTCACCTCCCAACCTTATCTATTTCCTGCTCGCCGCACGACTCGCAAGTCGCGACTGGCCGCGCCGCGCAACGCCCCTCTGCCTCCGTGCCGCCCGCAGCCCCCGTCCCTGCCTCCTCCGCGCTGCTCGCCGGCCCCAGTCCCAGCCTCCTCCGCGCTGCTCGCCGGCCCCAGTCCCAGCCTCCTCCGCGCTGCTCGCCGGCTCCAGTCCCAGCCTCCTCCGCGCTGCTCGCCGGCCCCAGTCCCAGCCTCCTCCGCGCTGCTCGTCGGCCCAATCCCAGCCTCCGCGCTGCTCGCCGGCTCCTGGCCGCGCCTATCCTCCGCCTACCCCCTTAGGCGAGGCGGAACCCCTCCGCCTAGCGCGTAAGCGGGCCTAGGCGAGCGCCTAGCAGCGCCTTTTTGAACATTTGAACATTGCCACCGGGATCCCATAACCACCACAGAATCATTATGGAGTTAAAGAAAATGTATACTCCATCAGTTGTACTCGCAGAAACATTGATGCTGCCAAGATGAATTCAAGGCCACTGAAATTCTGCTATTTTGAACACTTGACAAGAAGCTTGAAGTGGATCTTGTTTCCAAGTGCATATTGTGCAGGCCACAATTGAAACTTTGAAAGTGAAACCAATCCAGACTAAAGCTGACTGTTGCACCTGTCCAGTACCTTCAGCATCATCCGCCATATCCTCAAATAAACTGATGTCTCTGCATGCAAACTGAAGTTTGTACTCAGTTCAGATTAATTCAACTCATCAGCATCAACTTTAGCTTGACAACAACTGACAGATGGCCAATGCTTAGGCCACACCTCAACGTTCTTGGCCCAGACAGTGCCCATGTTTGCAAGTATAAAACCAGGTTATCATTTTTTCCATTGTTTCTCATGATCAAGTATCATATCCTGCTGCATGTGACACACCTCTTCCTTCACTTTCCAAATACCAGTGAGGTTGCACAGATTCATAAATTCAGCTCTGGGTGTGAAAATCTCACTTCTAGCCTTGCTTTGCCATGAAGGGCGGGCCTGGTGCAAGCGGTAGAGTCTTACCGCCTGTGACCGGAAGGTCCCGGGTTCGAGTCGCGGTCTCTTCGCATTGCACAGGCGAGGGTAAGGCTTGCCACTGACACCCTTCCCCAGACCCCGCACAGAGCGGGAGCTCTCTGCACTGGGTACGCCCTTTTTATCCTTGCTTTGCCACCTCTCAACTAGCACCAACTTATAGCTGAAAGAAGCCCCATTATGATTGTTGTCCTGAGCACATCGCGGTTGTACTAATGATGACTTCATGATGCAGTATCCCAATTTGCTATGGTCTCCAATAATCAAGAGGGCTTGGATCCGACCATGACTTGAACAGTGGTGGTGGCCAGGGTTGGAGCTGATCCCAGCTTCTGGACAGAGGCACCAAGATGGCTGGTGAATGACAATAATCTTTGGACAACTGTTTTCTCCCCTTGAGTGTAATAGAAATGACAATGCATATGTGCTTTTTTAGTGGTTTGGCCAACACATCAATCACTGCGAACCAGTGGTGTTTTGACAATGTTTCAACTAGATAGTGGTTGAAACTGAGAGACGGCCATGGTGCCGGGATCTATCTCGATTCGAACAACCACACAATATTCAGTAGGGGGTGGCCATGGTTGCTGCAGCTCAGATTGGTTATGTAAGTGATGCACAGAATAACAAACTGAGTTTGAAAACACCAAAGACATAGGTAGCAGTGAATCCTTTGACCAGTACAATACTTCCTCATCCGGATAACACATATCATCAATGGAGAAAGCAGATGAACCAAGAGGTATTACCTCGATCACTTCATATGCACTGCAGGAACAGGTCTCGACACAGGACAGGACTATATGCCCGCTGCTGGAATTAGAACAAATTGGTGAAGTTGATGAAGAAGTTGTGGCCCTTGTTGCCAAGTGAGAAGGTAGCTGCGAGTGAAGCCAGAGTGATGGGTAACTTGCTCACTGCTGCTGGAACGCGCAGACTGCATCTGTGACTGGGTATCAACCACCTGGTGGGCATCACTTGGAGAAGCGTGGTGCAGGCATCAACGTCTGCGAGCATGACGTGCTGGGATGGAGCAGAGACCGAGGGCGTCGTGGACGGTGCCGAGCCGGCCTAGTAGAGTCCCGGTGTCGAACACTTGGTGTGCAATGTGACATGGTGTTCAATGTTGGAGAATTGGATGGTAAGGTCATCAACACGGGACGGATCAGGGATTGAGGAAGATGTGGGCAGTGTTGCGGATGTTGTCACAGGCATGCTGTTGGTTGAGGTTGATCTCACGCTCGCAGTTGTCGGGGTTGGCAATGAGGATGGTTGAGGTGATGTCCTCTAGTGCAGATGATGCCATCAACAATGCATTGGAGGAGGTGGAGTCGATGCTGGCGGGCTTAGCATTGGAGGAAGTGGAGTCATTGTTGCCAGTGACAAAGGCCGGATAGGGAGCTTGAAAGGCCGTGTTGCTTGCCTCCAAATCAGAGGCCATCTTCATCACCATGACCAGAATCCGGTCTAGCATCTCCTTGCACTGCGACTCTTGTGCAGCGTTCTTGGTGGAACCAGAGCACCGCACCTCCACTGCAGAATCCATGGCTAGATCGGAGAGCCCACGTATCAACAGCTCCAATGCCAGTTGTCACAAACCCAAATTGAGTTCACTCACAAATCAAATCACAGCAACAATCAAACTAGTTTGTGGTAGTTTCTAGAAGGTGCTGGATACAACTACGAAGTAATCGGGAGGAGGAAGGGAAGGTAAATCGAGTCCAGAGCCTCGCCTTGAGCAGAGCTCGCCGCCGGTTCTGTGGTCTGTTCTTTGACAAATCCCCCATAGCTGCTGCTGCTTCCCTTGTACTGTGTGTCTGATGCCACCGTGGGCCAGTGCAAACCCAGTCCAACTCTTCTTCTGTCCATTGCCCAGCATAAGCCCAGTCTAATTCTTCTCCTGTCCATTGCCCGGCCCAATTGAAAGCTATATTGAGAGTTCCTAACAAAACCTTGAGAGTTCCTAACAAAACCGCCCCCACAGTGTTGTTTGGAAGAAGAAACCGCAGTACTTAACCACAGAGAAACCAACCAAACCCTGATAGTGCAGACCCTATAATGCTGCACCATAACCTAGGCCGGTGACCACAGGACCACAGCCCAAGTTCAGCACCCCATGACTACCCTCAAGGTAGGACTGCACCACTCGGTCACACAGGCCAACTGCCACCGTTACCATAGGATGGTGCCCTGCCACTATTTCATAGGTTGCCCGCAAGGGAGGTTTTTAACCAGCCCTGAAATTCGCTTCCACAGGGAATTGAACCCAGGGGCTGGATGTGCTTCAACTATTGAGTGCTGATTTCTGTAATTCAGGGCAATGCATTTCAAGTAACCATCTCCACAATACAAATATAATATCTCATATCTCATAAAGAATGACATGATGGCGCCTATTTCATCAATACACACCCCTACATGCTAAACTAGTACCATAGACCATACTCAAATAAGTGTCAGGTCAATAATATTCAGCATGCTATCAGTTAAAAGTTCAAAGTTTTCACTTCCTAGCATGTTGATATGTACTCCCTCCATTCCAAATTGTAAGAAATTTTGGCTTTTCTAGATACACAGCTTTTGCTATGCACTTAGATATACACTATGTCTAGATATATAGTAAAATCAATGTATCTAGAAAAGCCAAAACATCTTAAAATTTGGAACAGAGGGAGTACTAAACAAACAATGATCAATATTAAAAAACTCCCAAACACATCAGTTATTGTACAGAGACAGAATTGCATCCTCATGATTACTAACCAAATTAAGTGAACAACAACAATGAAGTACAACATGCCAAGTTAGACCATTTGCTAACTGAACCTGACAACTGCAGAACTGCTAACATGCCAATGATATTTACCATCACTAAACACAATGAAAGATAAAGAAGTGACCTGTTTCCCTCCAAGATCATGCATTCTTCCCTCTGACATAACCCTTTCAACAGCATCCTCGCTTTCAAATGTGACAAATCCAAAGCCACGTGAACGTCCAGTGCTATGGTCAAGCATAATCTGATGCTCAACCACCTTCCCGTATGATGAGAAGTGCTCCTTTAATTTATCTGCAAGGTTCATATTAATCATGCTAGCATTTGAAACGAATGTTTTCAAGGCCCAACAAATATAGCTAGTGGCTAATCAAAGTTATTATTTGCAAGTTCAATACAATGTTGAGATATCTTTTGCTTGAAAACAAAAAAAGGTTTCAGCATCGCTTGTACCTTCGGTAAGAGATGGTGGAATACCACCCACAAAGATCTTTTTTGTCTTAGGTCCATCTTTCGATGACATTTCCTCTTTCGGAACAGTCCTTTTGACTTCAACCTTGAAGCATAAAAAACGCAGTTGAGAATATAGTCCAAAATTAAGATCGCGATTTTTGGATATTGAACATAGAAGCCTTACTGTTCTTCCATCTATGACATGGTCATCCTCTAGAACCCTGTCAAGCACAGATGGATCGGAAAATGTAACAAATCCAAATCCACGAGGCATCCTAGTATGCTTGTCCTTCATGATCACAGAATCAGTTATAGCTCCATACTTCTGAAAATGCTTTGTGAATGTTTCTGCACATGCAAATGGAGCATATAGCAAAAGATAAGCGAAATAAACAAGTTCTAACAAAAACTTATTGCTCTATGAGATCAGCAATCTATATTCTAATGTTTCTTTTGTAGCTGCAGATACTTGGCGCTACTGGTCACTAAAAAAGGTAGAGCAACATGACTCCTAAAAGGTTCACATACAGTTTTGGAGTTGATTTGGAGGATCATTAATGAGAAAGATTCATCTTGAAGACAACTATAGTTAAGCTACAGAGCAATACCCATGTGTGATTGCAAACTAATAATGTGACATTAAAGACTAAAGCACTCCTATGATCCGAAGTTAGGAACACAAAACTGACAAATAATTCTAGAACATCAATGCAAACACACACTTAATTGCCATTCAATTTCTCAAATAAAAGACTTCTCCTATTTTCCAGTTCACCCACATTGTCCTTAAATTATTGAAATGAAAGTCATTTACTGCTTTCTAGTTCAAAAATCTATTCACACTGATTCACAATTATTATTATTTCTAAGTTATCGAACAAATCAAACCAGAATCACTCCTACCAATACACCAAATGAAGCCCAATCTGTATTGGTCAAATGACATACAGTTCCAGAATAATCGAAATAAAGCATATAGATTAATAGTTTATTTAACATGACTGGTATAAACTATAAAGCATATAGTTTATTTCCAGTATCAGAATGGCTATATTTCTGAAATCCATCAAGTAAAGTAGGCTAGCACAAATCACCAAATAGCAATGTTTTATATTACTATTTAAGAACACACCAACAAGAAAACAAAGTATAGGCTTGCTTCCATCAATATTATGGAGGTAGCAGTATCTCCCAAATCTAAGCTTTTACCACATACATTAGCCTACCTAAGCAAAATCATAGTGCATCAGTGACTCATCCAACCAATGCAGAACTTGATCAGTAACACACGAAAACAGAAACAACTATATCTTTTGCAGTGTATTTTTCTTTTATGCTAACAAAACACAGCTAAGAACTAATTTGCCTTTGTACTGTGTTGTTTTCCCAGAATATATCGTGTGTTGTACAACATTTTACTTGATATAAACTAAAATAGCCTCATAGTTAGATCCCAAAAGAATTGATCACTACCTTCGGTTGTCTCCCAGGCTACACCCCCTACGAAAATCTTCCTGCAAAATCACATACGAGGATGCACCAAACCAAAACTATCAGCCACACCTAATCCAATACAACAGACCGGACCATACACGAAAAAACCTAGATACCAAGGAACTCACCCCGAGGCATCACCACCACCAGAATCTGCATCCCTCCCATCCTCGCCACCAGCATCAACATTCTCAACGGCCTCCGCCTCCGCTAGGCCTCCGCCTCCAACGACGCTTCTCGTCTCGGCCGCCATCGCCGCTGCCTCGGCGGCTGCAGCCCCCTCGTCCGCTTCCCCTCCCCATCCCCCTCCTCCTCCTCCTCTTCGTACACCTCCTCGACCTCTTCAACCTCTTCTTCCTCCTCTTCCTCCTCGTACCCGCTCATGGCGTTCTGGTTCTCCTCCCCGTACCCCGCCATGCCGCGCTGCCGCGACCCGAAGCTGAGCTAAACCCTAGCTCCCAATCGGAGCGGGGAGCGAAGCGTAGCAGCTCGATTAGTGAATGGCGGCCTGCGCTGTGGGAGGGAGCAGGAAGGTCTAGGTTTCGCGCCTGTCGGAGCAAACCCTAGCGGCGCCGCTTCGGGTGTGTGCTGGACTGCTGGTGCGGGGGAGAGAAAGAGAGGTGGGAGATGGCGGCGAGGGGTGGGATTGGTGCCGGACTGCCGGTAGACGCTCGGCTTGTGTGGCTCGGCTGGGTTCATAGGACACGTTGGGTTCGCTGGCTCCGTTGGATGCGCGCTGCGATACGTGCCATTGAGCGAAATGCTTCACCTCGCGGACTGTGGAAAATGTTTCACGTCATTAAGGGCGCGTTTGGTTCGCAGCTAGAAGTCGCCGCATCGTGTCACAGGCTTCGCGCGTCGTGTGTTTGGCTAGCTACCGAAAGTTTGGCACCACCAGCGCTCGCCACGCACAGCCAGTTCATTTTGCCACCACGGCTTGCCAAATGTGTAGCGGATGAATCGTCCGCCTCACTCGCAGCGCGGCAAATTCTGCGGCGTGGCATGCTTAGGCGAGGACCAAACAGGCCCTAAATACTCTTTCTTAAAAATCATCCTTAAAATTCTTAATTAAATAAAATTTTGCCTTAAAACATTTATTTTAAAAAATTGTGCTTAGAAATTGTTAGCTAAAATATTTTAATTGAAATTCCTTTTCTTAGAAATTCTAAATAGGGCCACCAGCTACTCCCTCTCTTCTGAAATAGCTGCACATCTTGTTCTTTGAGAAGTCAAAAGGTTCGGTTTGATCAAATATATAACAAAAAAAGTACTAATAGTTATTATACATAATAAGTATTACTAGATTATGGAATATATTTTTATATTAAACTTATTTTGTGATACAAATATTGATAATATTTTCTATAAAGTTAGTTAATTTTCTCGAGAAGTGGGATGTGCACCTATTTTGAGACCGTGGAGTACTCATCTAACAAGCACATTAGGAGCATGTTTGTAGGTTAAAAAGAATACTTCTCAGCGAATCAAAATCATTTTATGGAATTTTTTGACTAGCTGACTGGACTCTTGGAAACTAGAACTGCAGAATTAGGTGAGACCAAGGTAAGCTCGTTTCTTCTCTAATAGTTAAAAAAAATACGTAGAATTGGTTCTAATAGTTTCTCCTTACATGTTTCCTATTTAACCGTCGTTTTAGTATCCCAACAAAAAAGCAAAGCACGACTTAAGTCTCACCGCACAATGTGTACACACAATATGAAACATTATAGAATGAGTAGTCATCTTTCCAAATATGTTACCTTTTTAGATTCATATATTATGTTAAAGTATGAGTGTAAATAAGTAGTAGAATGGAATAACTTGTCCTTTGCGTTGATGTGATGATTAAATATATACATGGTGAAGTAGTATAGTGAAAGGTGTCTTGTCCTGAAAGGATAAGTCAACCCTTCTCACTCTTTTTTTTATAACCCTTCTCACTCTCTATACCAAAGGACATGCCCCTTTAATGAGTATGTTATATGTCTAAGATAGTTACCAACTGAAAGGATATGGTAACCGGCGGCTAGAGGGGGTGAATACATGGTGATCGCTAAAAATCAAAGACACTAGGCAATTCTAATTAGAAATACAAATAGCCATAAATAAAGCTATTTCTATCTAGTGGTTTGCGGCCTAGTGTGGCAAAAGCAAATAATTCAGTTTTAAGAATGTAGACCGCTCAAAGTAAGTACCAAAATTGAATTAGGCACAAGAGATACCACACAAGAAGGTGAGCCCTCAATTTACTGTTTTTCTATCAAGCTTCCATCCCCACAACGTTGTCTTGATACCTAGAGCGATTGATCTCGAGCTAGATAGTGTAGGGAAACGCGGATGGCTACTCGCTAGCACAAAATAAATACCGCGTAAAAACAGGATCACTTGCTTGTAGATGATCATAGATTATACCTTCCCAACGCGCGACGCAGTGGAAGACTTGGCGGAACGCACGCAGTCGATATCGAGGAAATAGTCGTACCGTACGATTGCACAACGCAAGCACCTCTACGGATGTCCACATGTACGGAGAGGAGAACGGCACGACGGAGTGTGCTAGCACTCAACGCTGTGCTAGACAGCAGCAATACCGACGACGTGCACGAGGCACAGGAGCGGTGGCATCTCTGGTGGGTGGGGTAATTAGGGTTAGTTAGCCCCTTGCCTGTGATTAGCATATATACGAATTGCTAATTGGGCCACATGGGCTGGATAGGCCCACACTATGACTTGGGCATATTTCCAACAGATAGAACAATAAGGCGTTACTGGGTACCTCTATTCTTCTAGAGAAACTCTTTGTCTCCTCCAGATAAAATGAGCTCAATAGCTTCACACGAATCTTCTCTAGAGCAACAACACAATCTTTTTTCTTGTGCTTCGATTGAGCCCCCAAGCTAATTAATTTTATCTCTCCCATGCAAAAAATTAGAAACCCTTTTTAATGTGACTTTTTGAACATGTGCCACTTTATATGTGGTGAATCATTATATATTTGCAAATTGAGCGTAATTTAGTTGGTTTGATATTTTGTGGTGAAATATCGAGAACAAGGTGCATATGGTGATTTCATCGATCTCGGAAAATGTAGCACACTTAAACCTTGGTGAAGAACCATTTTAGCCATTAACATTAGAAGTTAACCTAGTAATGTGTCTACTAATGAACTGAACATTTCTTATAACTCGGTTTTATTTAAATTTGAACTTCAAATTGGGAAGTGTCAAATTAATTTTGGAAAATAAAATTGCCAAACTATGAAATTGTATCGATTCCTTACAAAAAAAAGATGTTAGATGATTTGCAGCACAAATTAAGGACCAAGCAAAATGACTTGAACCCCTCAAAAGTACTCAATCCGTCCACAAAAGAATACAATTCTTTTTTTTCGAGGAGTCAATGATTTGAAGTTTCACCAAAACTATATAAAATTTACTAACAATTATAATACAATAAGTATCATTAATTGATTATGAAATATATTTTATAATAAACTTAGTTGAAGACATAAATGTTGATATTCACTATAAACTCGGTTAAAGTTAAATTAGTTTGACTTACACGCGTCACATAATTGCATTCTTTTGTAGACTGATGAAGTATTAGTGAACATTGATAAACAGTGTCAAACAGTGTTGCGGTGTCTTTTTTTAACAAATTTTGAATGCTATAAGGTAATATCTTTCGTTCAGACCGACACGAAGTCTTCCGATGTTTTTAAAGAAATGACTTTACTCAAGAGAGATTTCTTGGTGTTGGCCTGTGGAAACGCCGTGTCGCCGTATGAGGAATGTTCGCATGCAAAAACGTCATATGAGGAATGGTTCCGCAACGGACGTGTCGATCATGTGATGCAAATCAAGGGCGCGTTTGCGCACCTATACCGATTCAGTACGGCCAAGACGAGCTGGTGTTTGTGACCCAATACTCAGCCAGGCTCAAACGCCAACCACCACCGACTGCCGAGTACAGATTGTATTTGCCAGCTGCTGTGCTCGGCCTGGCCCAAAGAGAAGGAAGAACAGCATGATCAATAGAGAAGCAAACACTTTGAATGAAAATATACAAAAGACATAGGCCTCAGACTAATTCCATTTAATGAACACATACATTGCCGGCTACATTGCATAATCAAAGAAGCAAATTAAGAACAGTAGCAGAATTAAGTAGTTTGGCAAGCCGAGAAGGACAACAAGTTAACAGAAAAGAGAGTACATGAATCAAAGTGGCATGTAGCCAGCTAATGCAGTCATCCTATTGTGTCATCATCGGCCTAATTAAAACAATAGCTGTGGCACATGAACAGTTTGAGTGACAGACCAACTACAACCATAAACAAGATCAAGATGACAGCATTTTTGCAACAACCTTACAGCCCAGGTGAATGAGGATAGATTTCAGAACCTTGAGCTGTCACCAGTTTATGGGATGCTGATGCATCCCCCATGAGGGGCATCAATTGATAACAGCAAGGGTTCTTGAGGTACCCATGCATTAAAATCTCTAAGAACATCATCATAGTTGTTGTACTTCTGATAGATAGCCCCTTCTTCCCTAAACACTTGCTAGCACACTCATATCATGTAAAATAAATCATAGGCTTCTTCCCTTCAAAGACCACATAGCAAGGAGGCATTCTCTGAAACCAACTAAACATGTAAAGTGGTCTGAATGACATGCCTCAGTCGACCATTCAGTTTGAATGATGGTGAACATCATCGGTTACAAATAAGTTTCTTACAATATCAAGTTCAGCCCAACAGCCAAGGGCTCAAATGTTCCCAAATCCTTGCCTATTGTTAGCCACCCTCCTAGGCAAACTACACCATCAAGGTCAGGTGTCAAAAGAACAAGCAGACTACACAAAAGCTCCTGTTGTCAAAAGAGGAGAGAGTGGGTGAGGGGGGTGGAGGAACTATACATCTTTACAGTCAACCCCCTCCTGGCCTTCTAGCCCTTCATGTGTAGTGGAACTACACATAGTAGTTTTTGCCCAGAAAGGTCCTAAGCCAAAGGGTCCTATGGGCATCACTCATGTTCACAAAGCCCCTGTCTTGGGCCTTGTTGTACAGGAGGAAGGTGTAGGCAACAATAGGATCAGGCAGTGGGGTTTCAGGTTCAGGGGTTTTTCTTTTCAGCCTAGTGGATACAAAAGAAACCATAACAACAGTCAAGCAGCTACCTTCCTACACAGCATGTCACGGCTCAAAGATAGATCCATCTACAAACATGTAAAAATGTAACATGATTTCA